TGTAAAACGCTGTATGAAAATGTACATAAACACACATAAATCGCACAACAAAACGTGCAAAAACCACTCAAGGTTGCTAAGGTCAAGTGTGAATCCAGCCTCACTCCTCACGTTTGTCTCAGGTTTTAATTAGGGACAGCATTACTGAATGGAGATAACTACTGCTGTGTTCTCTCTGATAATCCATGGATAATCCACTATGCTGTCATGTAAATTCCATTGTTACCCTGTGGCAGTGGTTGATGGTAATGAATGCTGCAAAGAACATTGTTCAATTAATGATGCACGCTATCTCCAAAGCATTCTCCTGTGAGTTCAGGGTGACTTGATGATACCCCACCAGAAGGTGGGTTTTTTTTATACCATTGGCTCACCACAAATGAGCTGAATAATGCTGAACACCATTAAACCCAGAACAGACCAACGGCATTAAAAAAAAAAAAAAAAGTCACTGTTATCACTAGCTTTTTGGAAAATCCAGCATCATCAAGAGATTACTCTATAACTCATAAGAAAGAGTTGAATTGACTACCATAAGCACCCTAGATCTACCAGTATAAATTCTACCAATGGACAACCCTTTTGCAACAAGGGTTGCACACATTTAACCCCTCGATTGCCAGGAGCACGCTCATACACAATAAACCTCCATTGCTAGTATAGTGTCTGAATGGATCAATATCTTTGATCAGATCAGCACTATGCCAGTGTTCACATTAGTACAGCGTCCCCCAAAATGCAGCATTAGCAGGATTAGCCATGGCACCTGCCAGCACCTGCGTTTAGCCCCTACGCTGACCCACCCCCCCTTCTCCCCCAGCAAGTGCAGTGTCAGTAGGTCACTGTCACTTGATACATTGCACACAAAACCGCAGTGTTGGCAGAATCAGGCCTGATCTCTGTTAGCACTTGCCGGTAAATTTTGATGACTCTCATATGCAGGAGAGTGCTAGTACTAGTTCCACGCTACCTTTTGGTGAACTGTCGAGTACTAGTGATCTAGTACCTCCTTGTCTTTCACATACCCCTTAGATTGTAAGCTGTATTGTCCTGCAACCACCAAGAATTCGCACACAGGCCCGTGGAGCCCCTAGTATCCTTCCGGATGTGCTTGCAAATCCCGATTGGCAGCCCACAAATTCTGCAGCACCCGTACTTCCCCATTCACTGCCCAACCCGGAATTCAGGTAGAAATAGCAAATTTAACTACTTCCCTTGATTTTCTGGTGCTGTTTTTCATGGAAGATCTGTATGCATTGATTGTGGATCAAAGCAATTTATATGCCCAACAGTTTATCACCACCAACTCAGATTCAAACCTTGCCAGACCATTCGCATGGAAACCCATTACGGTTTCCGAATTTAAATTTTTTTTGGACCTAACCCTTAACATGGGCATTACTAAAAAAAAATGAATTGCGGTTGTATTGGTCCACAGACCCGATTCATCATATGCCCGTGTTCTCCGCTGCCATGGCCAAGCATAGATGTGGATTATAATGTGTTTTATGTATTTCAACAACAATACACTCTGTCATCCTTGGGGTGACCCTGAATTTGACCAGGTCCACAAACATTCAAATGAATAGAAAAAAAATATTGGGCATGAGTTTTAATGAGTGAATATTTACTTTGTTGTAGAATACATTTACTATATTTGGGTTAACTTTTTTTCTTCCTCCACAGAAATGGTGTGGTATTTTGTCTTTAAGCATTGAATGTAATAAGTATGATGATTATCTTCATTGCTAACTACTTTGTCTTTTCTGATATAAGTGTATTCCTACAAAGTCCTTTTTTATGTTTTTTTCAGTCTTTCTCGGGCATCTCCATATGTGCCTGAACTGTTTTACATGGTTTACCTGCTGAGAAACGTTTTTACAGCTGTGTTACTTTTTATGCATTTTATGCACATTTACTTCAGAAGAAAATAACCAGACTGTCGAGCAGCACAGCTGTGTGTAGCACAATGTTCAATTACTGACTAAAAGACGTAAAAAAAAATATATATACAGTATATCTCTTTTCTGATATAAGTGTATTCCTACAAAGTCCTTTTTTTAATGTTTTTTTCAGTCTTTCTTCGGCATCTCCATATGTGCCTGAAATGTTTTACATGGTTTACCTGCTGATAAACTTTTTCACAGCTGTGTTACTTTTTATGCATTTTAGGCACATATACTTCAGAAGAAAACCAATAGATTGTCAAGCAGCACAGCTATATGTAGCACAATGTTCAATTACTGACTAAAAGATGTAAATAAAAAATATATATATATATATATATACTGATATAAGTGTATTCCTACAAAGTCCTTTTTTTATGTTTTTTTCAGTCTTTCTTCAGCATCTCCCTATGTGCCTGAACTTTTCTACATGGTTTACCTGCTGAGAAACCTTTTCACAGCTGTGTTACTTTTTATGCATTTTAGGCACATTTACTTCAGGAGAAAACCAACAGACTGTCAAGCAGCACAGCTGTATGTAGCACAGTGTTCAAGTACTGACTAAAAGAGTTAAAAAAAAAGCTTTGTTAAAGGTAAACTCCAGCTTTGCATTATAACACTATTAAATTCAGCTGTATATTTCTTTGAAAAATAAACACATTCTTATATATGACAACTAGCCCCCCCCCTTTCTGGTAGTTTTGATGAATAATAATAATAAATAAATTGGGTTACTGCACTTTGCACATCTCCACTCTTCAACACTAGCTTAGCAGGTGACTACTGAATTTTATTTTAGAAACAGGACCAAGAACAATGATTCCCAGATTGCACAGAACAACCAATCATATTTTAGGTCAATGGCAGCAGATACATTCTAATTGGTTGCTGTAGAATGGAATACAGCGTCTTGCACATTACTTTTTTCCTTACTGAATCAGCCAGTATTTTTCTGAATATCCTATTTGATAATGCTTGGTTGCCTATATAACATTCCCTCTGCTCAGTGACATGTAAAGGATTAAAGTCCACCTATAATTTCTACTTGTTATGAGTTTAACTTAATATAGCATTACATTTGCTATATCAACCTTTTGCTATAAATTGGCACTACAAAGAGAAAAGTGACAAAATAATGTGCAGGGATGGAACCTGGGAAAGGAATAGAAGAGGGGATTATGAACTTGTGAAAGTAGGTGTAGGACTCCCATTGAGTCACTGTTGGCTGGCTTAATCTGATTTCTATGAAGTAGACAGACCCACACAGTTCAGGAACAAAATGAACATTTTTCTGACATGGATCCAGAAAATAATTATTGCCCTTTTAAACGTACGCATTGCACATTATTCTCTTCCTTGTGAAAGCTTTATGGAGTGACTGTACTAACACAGGCTTAGGAAACAAGCGGCAGTGAGTTAAGACAGCTGAATTAACTCCTTTGCAGTTAAAGGGCTAAATCAGACAGGGCATACCTTGGAGGACTGGACCTCTTATTACAGAAAATGTCTTATGCCATTTGCTTGCCTGACATTGCCATTGCTCGAACTGCAATCTTCATTGACATTCATTTGCTCAGTTTCTCCAAAATGACTCCCATAAACTCACAACCTTTACAAACTTTTCAGAGCTTGACATTGTCAATTATTCATTGCAACTTTGGGCAGAACATAAATTAGGCATTGTGGCAATGTTTTTAAAACTAGCATTTGGTATAGTTATTCCTTATTGCTTGCATGAGAGAACTGCTAGTTGCCTGGCTGTAATGGTCACATGATTCCCAAGTATCAGAGGAAGGAAAGAGTATAGTACTTTAATCTACTTATTACTACTAGCTAGCTGCTTTTATCAATCATCAAAAATGGAATCATTATAATCCCCACTGTTTGCATGTATTCTGTGTACAAAATTATATTGTTTTGGCTTTTGATATTCAGAAGCCAGGATCATCTGGATGTAGGCTGCTTCTTGTTATCCTAAGTTGGGTCTGCTAAATCAAGATATTAGGCGCCCAAGGTTCAGAACTAAGTGAAAGTATTGCTAGTCAACACGTGCAGAGGTGAAACTGGAAATATATAGTTCACGGTTAACTTCACTTTTGTGGAAGAAAAAATACAGCATATACAATTGCAATACAAGCCATATTGTAATACGGATTTCTCAACCAGGGGTTCCACTGAACACTAGGGTTCTTCCAGAGGTTGCTAGGGTGTCATGAACGTGGTACCAGCCCTCAGGCTAGGACATGTTGTTTGGCTAATATGTCTGCGCATAGGTATAAGCATAGAAGACAGATTGCTCATTTACCTGCACATACGAGCATGTGCATGAACATGTGCATGAACATGTGCGTGCACTGCTAACAGGAAAGGGCACTTTCACTCCTTCCAGTCCAGGCCAATTTTCAGCTTTTAGCATTATCACCTTTTGACTGACAATTACTCAGTCATGCAGCATTGTACCCATATGAAATTCTTAGCATTTTTTTTGAGACAAATCGAGCTTACGTTTGGTGGTAATTGATCACCACTGGGGTTTTTTATTTTTTGCTATATAAATGAAAAAAGGCCAACATTTTGAAAAAAAATTATTTTTTGCTTAATTTCTGTAGTAAATTTTGCAAATAAATAATTTATCTTCGTACATTTAGGTCAAAATGTATTCTGCTACATTTCTGGGGCAAAAATAACCCAAAACAGTGCATATTATTTAGTCTGTGTGAAAGCTATAGAGTCTACAAACTATGGGATATATATTTGAAAATTAATCAGTTGAGATCCAAAAATGGCAGACGATGGTATGACGTATAGCAGTGCTCAGGACACTGTTATAGGGTATGGCGGTGATCAGGACGTTAGCATGAGGTATGGTGGTGATTAGGACACTGGTATGGTGGTGATCAGGGCGCTGATATGGGGTATGGGGGTGATCAGGATGCTGTTATGGGGTATGGCAGTGTTCAGAATGCTGGTATAGGGGGGGTGAACAGGATGCTGTTATAGGGTATGGCAGTGATCAGAACGCTGGTGTGGAGTATGGTGGTGATCAGGAACGCTGGTATGGGGGTGATCAGGACACTGGTATGGGGTATGGTGGTGATCAGGACGCTGGTATGAGGGTGATCAGGACACTAGTATGGGGGTTTGGTGGTGATCAGGATGCTGGTAGGCATATATGGGTGATCATGATACTGGTATGGGGCATGGCGGTGATCAGGATGTTGGCATGGGGTATGGCGGTGATTAGGACACTGGTTATAGCGGTGATCAGGACACTGGTATGGGGTATTGGGGTGATTAAGGACACTGGTATGGGGTATGGCAGTGATAAGGATGCTGGTTATGGGGCATGGCAGTGATCAGGACGTTAGCATGAGGAGGTATGGCGGTGATTAGGGGACACTGGTATGGCATATGGGGTGATCATGATGCTGGTATGGGGCATGTCGGGAATGAGGATGTTGGTATGAGGTATAGCAGTGATTAGGACGCTGTTAGTATGGCAGTGATAAGGACGAATGGTATGGGGTGATCAGGATGTTGGTATGGGTTATGGCGGTGATAAAGATTGCTGGTATGGGGCATGGCAAGTGATCAGGACATTAGCATGCGGTATGGTGGTGATTAGGACACTGGTGTGGTGTAATCAAGATGCTGGTATGGGGTATGGGGGTGTTCAGGACGCTAGTATGGCTATGATCAGGACACTGGTATGGGGTTATGGCGGTGATCTAGAACGCTGGTATGGGGTTATATGGCGGTGATCAGGACACTGGTATGGGGTATGACGGTTATCAAAACGCTGGTATGGGGTAATATGGCGGTGATCAGGATTGCTGGTAATGGGGTATGGTGCCGATCAGGGCACTGGTATGGGAGTATGGCAGTGATCAGGACACTGCTATGGGTCTGGCAGGGATCAGGACGCTGGTATGGGGCATGTCGGTGATTGGGATGTATGTTATGGGGCACGGCGGTGAAAAAAGATGCTGGTATGAGGTATGGCAATGACTCAGGATGCTGAGTCGTATGGGGTGTGAGCCAGTCGATACCATGGGCACGTTAGGTAGTGGTGTACTTGGCAGTTGAGTATCAGAGTGCGTTCATATTATGGCATCATATGGAGGTGAACAGGAGGTGTTGGTAGGCGGCGGGTTATGGTCTCGGTGCTCCGGTCGTGACATATCGGTTCGTTTTTATTGTGTGACACTGCGACAGGTGATAGAGGCACTGATCAGGGGACACTGTGGCACTGACTGGCACTGCAATCTATGAGTGTACAAGCAGGCCTAACAGGCTGCTGTATACTCTACAGGCTGCAGGAATTGCTTCTCTATGCTCTCACACTGAGAGCAGAGAGAAGGCTGGTCTTTACTTTCACTTTCCAGTGTTTATTATGTGATTGTTGTTATTATCAAACGCAATCACATGGTAAACACAGCGTGATCACCTGAAACCACAGCAGTAGAGTGTATCCACAGGCCTGATTCACTATTGGGGCGGCGTCTTGGGCGGCATACTTTATGGGCTTAAGCCCATTTTACTATGGGCGTCGCGTCGTCATTTTTTTACCCTGCAACCTAATTCACTATTGAGCATGAGCCATAAGCAGATGCCCAATCTAATTCAACAAAAAGATCCACGACGCCGAATGATATTCAGGGACTCACAAAACAGACTTGCTAAGATGCAAGTCTAAAAACCATGAAAAAATCACTGCCAGAGACAGTGTCACTTAGACATTTGCTTTGCCAAATATCAGGACCTTCACTTTTAAACAATATCTGCTATTTCCAAAAAATTAAAAAATGTGTAAAAAATAAAAATCGTTTTTTTTTTCAAGGAAAATCGACACAGTAAAAATCTAGAAGCCGTGCACTCTGCGAAGTGGTCTTTGGCATATTACAAGCGAGCCATGTGTCCAGAAACAACATTTTAGACTTCTGCCAAGGGCGTTTGCTTTTTATCCACTGACTAATAGTGAAGCTGATTGTGGGAATTCCTTGCTGAGAGCCCGGGTACTCGCTCGCGATCTTATTGTGTTTTAATAAACAGCACTCGGCATATCTCATGTATTCTAACTAGATTTCCTTAGTTCTAGTGATTCTATTTTTGTTTCTTATCCTTTAAAATTATTTCTGTAATGATTTTATTATTTCAAAGGTCTAGTTAATATTTATTTTGACGTGAATGTAAAAATAAAGGTTCCACAATAAAAAAACAAAAAAAAAAACAGCGTGGTCCCCCTCTCATCCATACCAACCCTTCGGTCTGGTTTGGATATTAAGGGGGAACTCCCCGCTGAAATTAAAAAAAAAAAAGCGTGGGGCCCCCCAAATCCAACCGCCCTTTCCAGCATGCAGCCCGCAGGTCAGGAAAGGGGGGGGGGAGCGAGGCCCCCCCCCCCCTGAACCAAAACCCGGCCCCATGCCCTCAACATGGGGGGGGGCTTTGAGGAGGGGGGGCTCCCCCCCCCCAAAACTCCCTTTTCCCCGTTTAGAGGACAAGGGCCTCTTCCCCACAAACCCCGGCCCGGGGGTTGTGGGGGCTCTCGGGGGGGGCTTAAAAC